TCATCCTGGGCCGGGACTGGCCAGAATTCGTCGAGCTGATCCGGTCCCTATCTCCGGAAGAGGCTTTTGAGGGAGCCCCCTCTGCGACGGACCCAGGCCCCGGGCGGAGCCCCGACCCCGGCGTTGACCCATCCCTTTCACCCAGGCAGGATGGCCAGGAGACAGGGGGCCCCCTGGTGGACATTCGGGACTTTAGCCGAGACCAAAGGGAGGACCCTACGCTCCGGTTTGCCTATGAACAGCTGGCACGGGTAGAGGGGAAGGTCGTGGAGGCCCAGCGGGCGACCCAATGGCCTAGATTTGAACTTGATCGGGATCGTCTCTACCACGTGGAGCGGGACCCGCAAACTCAAGAGGTCCGGACCCAACTCGTGGTTCCCCGCATTCATCGACGGGCGGTCCTAAAGCTAGCCCATGACATCCCAGCCGCAGGCCATTTAGGACCGGAGAAAACTGCGGCTAGGGTCCTGGCCAAGTTCTTCTGGCCCGGCATCCACCGCGAGGTGAAGGATTATTGTGGGTCATGCCCCACCCCGGCCGGAGTCCGGAAGGCCCCCATGGTTCCATTGCCAACAGTGGGCGTTCCGTTTGAGCGAGTAGCGATGGACCTGGTCAGACCCTTCCCGAAAAGTCAGGCGGGCTACCAGTATATCCTTGTCTTGATGGACTACGCCACCCGCTTCCCTGAGGCTATCCCCTTAAGGAGTATCACTGCCCGCACTATCGCGGCAGAGCTCGTGAAGATCTTCGCCAGGGTAGGCCTCCCTCGAGAGTTACTTACTGACCAAGGGACCAACTTCACCTCTAAGTTGTTCCGTCAAGTATGTGCCCTGCTGGGGATTAAGAAACTGCAGGCCTCAGTTTACCATCCCCAGACCGATGGGTTAGTCGAACGTTTTAACCGAACCCTGAAGGGCATGTTGCGACACTTCCCCACCCAGGACCTCCATCAGTGGGATCAACTACTTCCCCCTTTACTACTGGCGGTCCGGGAAGTTCCACAGGCTTCCACGAAGTTCTCTCCATTTGAGCTCCTCTATGGGCGACGGCCCCGCGGAGTGATGGACCTCCTGAGAGAAACTTGGGAACATACACCATCCTCAACGCAGGGCCTTTTACAATACGTCCTGCAGCTGCAGGAGCGGCTGGCCCGGGCAGGTGAACTCGCAAGGGAAAACTTAAACACGGCCCAAAGGGGCCAGGAGCAGCAATATAATCGGGACACCCAGGTCCGATTATTTGCCCCCGGGGATCGAGTTCTCCTCCTGCTCCCCTCGGAGGAATCAAAGCTGTTTGCCCGCTGGCAGGGTCCGTATGAAGTCCTTTGCCAAGTGGGGCCTGTCAATTACGAAATCCGGCAGCCTGATCACCGAAAGGGAAAGCAGATTTATCATGTAAATCTTTTAAAACCCTGGCGGGAACGGGAAGGACTACTAATTGCCCCGTACCCACCTGAACCTGACCTTGGGCCACAACCCCCCGAAGACTCTGATAATGGGGAACCCCAGCTGGCCGAGATGCTCACTGCTGAGCAGCGGGAACAGGCCCTCTGCTTAGTGAAGGCATTCCCCAGGACCTTCACCACGAAGCCCGGACAGACTACGCTCCCCTACC